ACCAAGGTTCTCTTGTTGTAACAGCAGCTACAGTCAATACAACCAAGGTTCTCTTGTTGTAACAGCAGCTACAGTCAATACAACCAAGGTTCTCTTGTTGTAACAGCAGCTACAGTCAATACAACCAAGGTTCTCTTGTTGTAACAGCAGCTACAGTCAATACAACCAAGGTTCTCTTGTTGTAACAGCAGCTACAGTCAATACAACCAAGGTTCTCTTGTTGTAACAGCAGCTACAGTCAATACAACCAAGGTTCTCTTGTTGTAACAGCAGCTACAGTCAATACAACCAAGGTTCTCTTGTTGTAACAGCAGCTACAGTCAATACAACCAAGGTTCTCTTGTTGTAACAGCAGCTACAGTCAATACAACCAAGGTTCTCTTGTTGTAACAGCAGCTACAGTCAATACAACCAAGGTTCTCTTGTTGTAACAGCAGCTACAGTCAATACAACCAAGGTTCTCTTGTTGTAACAGCAGCTACAGTCAATACAACCAAGGTTCTCTTGTTGTAACAGCAGCTACAGTCAATACAACCAAGGTTCTCTTGTTGTAACAGCAGCTACAGTCAATACAACCAAGGTTCTCATGTTTTAACAGCGGCTATAGTCAACACAACCATCATCAAAGTAAACAAAGCACTCAATATTAACAGAAGTAATGCCAGTGTTTACACTATTCCATGTGGCTGTAGGGTGTGAAAGGTGGTCGTGGGAACCAGTAAGTAAATGATGGTGAAACCAAGAAATCTAGAAACATTAGTGAACATAAACGTAAGGAACCAATAACAAGATCAACGTGTCATTTATTGGGATTATCTCAAAGTTGAACGATACAAACAGATCTCCACAGGAAGAGATGTCCAGAAGCCTCCCTCATCACAATTTTCTGTAAGATTTTTGAGGTATTATCAACAACAGTCGTGACACCCCACAACATGGTCATCACTTAACATCTGTAATATGTGTTAATAATTTGTACAATTCTATTGTTAAATTCTTTGCTATAAATACTACGCTATAAAAAGTCACAATACCGGGGCTGGAACAAATTACCAAAAACCCGAACTTAGGAGAGGAACCTGGACCACCATTGTCAAGTCACAGCTGGGGCGAGAAAAGTAGAGAAGGCCAAATGACCATACAGTACAAGGTGACGGCATTATGTATCTCCGTTCTCTGCCCTGTATATGTACACCAGAGCTTGATAAAGCCCAAATAAAATACTTAGAATGTTGAATGTGAGTACATTTAATATAAGTGTTGATGTCACTATGTTAAACTGATGTGTAGCCAAATGACCATATATACATAAGGGAAATTACCAACAAACCTCTGGTTGTCTTCAGTAGGGAACTTGACAGGTTCCTCAAATCAGTGTTTGACCAGCAGGGCTGTGGTTCGTACTTTGGACTGCGTATGACCAGCAGTAACCGCCTGGTTGATCAGGCCTTGATCCTCCAGGCGGCCTGGTCTGGGAGTGGGCCGCAGAAGCACTGAGCCCCGATAACTTCCTTCAGGTTTAGTTGGTGGTAAAAAGGTTACTTACAGCCTTAATAACCCTACTGCATTCGACGGGTTTTTAACCTCATTAACTAACCTGGGGATTTCAATATACCTAAAGGAATGATCATGGGTTCGTACACTCGCGGGAGCGGCCACTCCCGTCATAACAAACAAATACCAAGAAACAAAAAAAAATTCTGACCTCTAACCTTCGCTTTTGAGCTGGCAAACATTTACTAGTTCAGTACGATAATAGAGGAGATAAAAGAAGACAGAGGTACATGCATAACATATTTTCCGACTGTAGAAAATCCTTTAACACATGAAAAACTGACCACCAACAGACAGTGGGAAACACCTTCCAATGAGGAGGTGTAGAGTAAATAAACTAAGAGAGAAGTATACAAAGTCAAGATTATTCAACCTCCTCCATTTCATATACAAAGGTTATTACCAGCAGACACGGCTGTCTTCAAGAGGGAACTTTGTGACTTGATAAACTTCAAGTTCGTTCTCGATCAGCCGCGTTGTTTAGGTTGGACTGCGTGCAAGGAGGAAGACCATCCAGGGACCATCCACGGGGACGCTGACCCCCGAAATCCGCTATCACACTAGAAGAGCAGGCAGCGACAAGGGAAAGACATTCCGATGTATAGAGGAACAGAGAGAAGACAGAGGGTGAGAGTAGGACCCCGCCCCCAGAGTCCGGTTCGGAAACCACTGCAATTCATGTTGTAAATGACCAGCCAACGGGAGCAAACTCGACTTATCACTATTCGAACCTACTGAGAGGTAAAGGTAGCAGGTGGGTTGGTAGCAACCATGCAGGGAGGTATTACCATCCTCTCAAATTAGTGAGAGACTGAAACTGTCAGATTTCTTGCACTGTGAGGATTACTTCTCTTTCTGTCTCGAGTACATATAAGACGACAGGTGAATGTTACAAACTTCTATTGACATTCAGTAAACCTTTACCTTCCTGTGTGCTTGTTAGTGTTTTTTAAACCTCAAATATTTCCTTTCTAACCTAGGAGGTCTAGTTTGATAATGGGCCATAGAGAAGATGATCCTCAAAATCAGTAAGAGATTAACAGATAAAAATAAGAGAGGGGAGACTGGCTGCAGGGAGACTTACAAACATTACAAGGGTGAGCAAATGAACTGGTAATACACTTCAGCGCCAACAAATGCAAAGTGATAATGATCTTAGGGAAAAAGAGGAGGCAGGAACAAAGTGTGAGACAGGAAAACTACAAGCATCATACAAGGGTATTATTAATTATTATTATTGGGAAGCTAGTCCCGTAGGAGTTATTCAACATCTGTGAAATGAGAGGTAATCAGGTTTGAGACCAGGAAAGCGAGGGTAGCTCCAATTCACTGCCTCTAGATGCTCCCATTGAAGGTTCCTACAAGGATAGAGACCAAGAGTGAACCTCACAGCGAACATATCGCCGGAGGTGCCCATCAACCGCTTAACCTCAGCAACATGCGCGAGGCCAGCGAGTCTGAGACCTGTCACCACTGGTAAACACTCCTTCAGGACTCCACACACAAGCCTGAACAGTTGTGGAGACAACATTTGTTCCAGCATATTCAAAAGATGGACTAAATCGAGAGGTTTGGAATGAGACTAGTCCTGGGGCTGCAAGGGCTGCAACAAAGAAAGAAAATATATGACCTTTGAGGTAAGGTGGCCCAGGGGAGACACTATCATGTACTCACATGAATTGCTGCAGTGGATGATGGAAAAGTCTGTCAAGCGCGAGGAACACGGACACAGGAAATGAACACACACACGGGAGAGGAACACGGACACAGGGGCAAGGGAGAGGAACATGGACACAGGGGCAAGGGAGAGGAAGACGGACAAGGGCGAGAAACACGGACACGGGGGGCGACAGTAGGCTGATAAGCGCTGCAGTGATTCGTCAGCCTCTGGATGTTTAGTCAGTGGAACACTGTGAAACACGCATGACATACTCAGTACACAGCTTCAATATAAGGTACGGTGGCCTAGAGACCGAAGAGAAGCAACATGAAAGAGGTGCACCCAGTCACACTATGCGTCACTGTGCTAAAATGCTTCAAAAAATTCTAAGGACAAGTCATATAATAACCGCACTCAGGATACACCTTTGATGAGTTTCCAGTCTTACTACTCTCCAAACCCGGCCATGGGCCAGGCTCGTCTGGTGCTAGCCTGGTCAACGGGGCTGTTGTTGTTGTTGCTGCTGGAGGCCCTCTTCCCTACATATCCATCACAGCCTGGTTGCTCTGACACCTGGAAAACCTTATGACAACGTTTCAGTCACAGCGGTCCAGGATAGACCCAAACGTCGTTATAAGATTTTTCTCTCATGCTTTATTTCATTGTCACTAACTTATTTAGCAAACATAAGTTGGGAGTCAGTCCCTGGATCATATGTCTGTGATTACTACTCGTGGAACGGGGATGGAGTGACGGCCATCCACCGCCAGGACTCGAGTCTGGTTAACCAGTTTCCTTCTGAATCTTTTAATAAACTAACTTGCTCACACTCCAACAGCAAGTCAAATCCCTAAAGCCACTTGTCTCCAGTCAAGCTAACACGCTCACACACGCCTGCTGGATGCTAAAGTTCTTATAACTTAAAACCTCCATCCCACCCTACCTAGAACCCTTCCTGGGACGACCCTTACCTCAAGCCCTTCCTGGAATGACCCCTACCTCCAACCCTTCCTGAGACGATCCCCTACCTCTAACCGTTCCTGGAACAACCCCTACCTCGAGCCCTTCCTGAGACGACCCCTACCTCCAACCCTTCCCGGGGCGACCCCTACCTCACCTTCCATGCACCCAGGATTTATATACCATCTTGATCATCCTATTCTGTTCCATCCTCACTAAACGTTCAAACCACCTTAGTAACACTTGTCTGTCCTCTGACTACTAATTTCTAGGCTCAGAATTCTTTTCACAATATTCACCATGCACAATGCTCTGGATGATGAGATGTCCACTGCCCTCAATGTCCTCCTCGCCCCAATGTTTAAAACCCATGCCTCACACACTTACAAAAGTTGTGGTACCACCATACTCGGGTTCACTTCTTTCTTGGCCTCCCCAGTTGAACCTTCCTTTTGTAATAATCTTGGTAGAATTAGCGATAATAAGTTAGATAAACTGACACACAAGTTCAACTAAAGCAACATTATATCATCGCAACGTTTCGGCTTGGCAAAGATCGAGAGCGAAACGTTGCCACAATAAAATGTCGCATTAGTTGCTCATGTGTCTTTTTGCCTAACTTTGTTTTACCTATCAAACAATTCGCATAACTTGAGTATATAATCCCTATTATTAATTTTTAAATTAACATAACCCTAAAATAAAGAGAGGGATTAACAAAGTTTAAAAAGTGTAGTTTTGGTGTGAGGATTCAATTATGGTGAGAAGGAGAGAGAGAGAGAGAGAGAGAGAGAGAGAGAGAGAGAGAGAGAGAGAAAACACTTACGTCAGAGTCTGCTCCTTTATCCCTGCCTGGGCATTTGAAGGTGACGAACTCATGGCACCGCTTGTGAACCACGAAGCTGCAAACTGCAACAAGAACAACAACAACGTGTTAAAAAACTTCAAACAAGTGTTGCATACACACACACACACACACACACACACAACACACACACACACACACCAACAGCGAAGAGGCGGGGCCAGGAGCTGTGACTCGACCCCTGCAACCACAAATAGGTGAGTACAAATAGGCGAGTACACACACACACACACACACTCGGTGCTGTTTCAAGCATTTTCCTACAAACCTCAATTTTTAGCTAAAATATACATATATGCTACTTGAAAAAAGTATGATCTGACTTACTTTTCCCCAGAAAATGCAACTGTAGCAGCAGTTTCGATTAAAAGTGTGATAATTTACGTATTTTAGCTACAACAAATGCAATAAACAGGCAGACATACAAATGAACCCGTATGGGTAAATTTAAGCAGAAAACGAGCACCTTCTCCAGCATTAACTGCCGATACTAACACAACGGTTAACTATACCCCCATGCTACGAGTCAATCAATAAATATATTGACAACTTTCCCACAATGTGTGGCAAAGACGAGAATGTTTCGTGTCAAGGTATTGTGACTATCAATATTGTCCCTATTTTCTCCATTATTTGGAATAGTTGAGTGATTAATGTACCGTAAAGAATGAAAAATAATGGTCCTTTGTATAAGTGTAGCGAGTACTATAATGGTCCCATGTACAAGTGTAGCGAGTACTATAATGGTCCCATGTACAAGTGTAGCGAGTACTATAATGGTCCCATGTACAAGTGTAGCGAGTACTATAATGGTCCCATGTACAAGTGTAGCGAGTACTATAATGGTCCCATGTACAAGTGTAGCGAGTACTATAATGGTCCCATGTACAAGTGTAGCGAGTACTATAATGGTCCTATGTATAAGTGTAGCGAGTACTATAATGGTCCCATGTATAAGTGTAGCGAGTACTATAATGGTCCCATGTATAAGTGTAGCGAGTACTACAATGGTCCCATGTATAAGTGTAGCGAGTACTACAATGGTCCCATGTATAAGTGTAGCGAGTACTATAATGGTCCCATGTACAAGTGTAGCGAGTACTATAATGGTCCCATGTACAAGTGTAGCGAGTACTATAATGGTCCCATGTACAAGTGTAGCGAGTACTACAATGGTCCCATGTATAAGTGTAGCGAGTACTATAATGGTCCCATGTATAAAGTGTAGCGAGTACTACAATGGTCCCATGTATAAGTGTAGCGAGTACTATAATGGTCCCATGTATAAGTGTAGCGAGTACTATAATGGTCCCATGTACAAGTGTAGCGAGTACTATAATGGTCCCATGTACAAGTGTAGCGAGTACTATAATGGTCCCATGTATAAAGTGTAGCGAGTACTATAATGGTCCCATGTATAAAGTGTAGCGAGTACTACAATGGTCCCATGTATAAGTGTAGCGAGTACTATAATGGTCCCATGTATAAGTGTAGCAAATACTATAATGGTCCCATGTACAAGTGTAACGAGTACTATAATGGTCCCATGTACAAGTGTAGCGAGTACTATAATGGTCCCATGTACAAGTGTAGCGAGTACTATAATGGTCCCATGTACAAGTGTAGCGAGTACTATAATGGTCCCATGTACAAGTGTAGCGAGTACTATAATGGTCCCATGTACAAGTGTAGCGAGTACTACAATGGTCCCATGTATAAGTGTAGCGAGTACTATAATGGTCCCATGTATAAGTGTAGCGAGTACTATAATGGTCCCATGTATAAGTGTAGCGAGTACTACAATGGTCCCATGTATAAGTGTAGCGAGTACTATAATGGTCCCATGTATAAGTGTAGTAATAAAATCGTCCCTTGTATAAGTGTAGCGAGTACTATAATGGTCCCATGTATAAAGTGTAGCGAGTACTACAATGGTCCCATGTATAAGTGTAGCGAGTACTATAGTGGTCCCATGTATAAGTGTAGCGAGTACTACAATGGTCCCATGTATAAGTGTAGCGAGTACTATAATGGTCCCTTGTATAAGTGTAGCGAGTACTACAATGGTCCCATGTATAAGTGCAGTGAGTACTATAATGGTCCCATGTATAAGTGTAGCGAGTACTATAATGGTCCCTTGTATAAGTGTAGCGAGTACTATAATGGTCCCATGTATAAGTGTAGCGAGTACTATAATGGTCCCATGTATAAGTGTAGCGAGTACTATAATGGTCCCATGTATAAGTGTAGCGAGTACTATAATGGTCCCATGTATAAGTGTAGCGAGTACTATAATGGTCCCCTGTATAAGTGTAGCGAGTACTATAATGGTCCCATGTATAAGTGTAGCGAGTACTATAATGGTCCCATGTATAAGTGTAGCGAGTACTATAATGGTCCCTTGTATAAGTGTAGCGAGTACTATAATGGTCCCATGTACAAGTGTAGCGAGTACTATAATGGTTCTTTGTATAAGTGTAGCGAGTACTATAATGGTCCCTTGTATAAGTGTAGCGAGTACTAGCGAGTACTATAATGATTTCTTGTGTAAGTGTAGCGAGTACTATAATGCTCCCTTGTATAAGTGTAGCGAGTACTATAACGGTTCTTTGTATAAGTGTAGCGAGTACTATAATGGTTCCTTGTACAAGTGTAGTCAGTACTATAATGGTCCCATGTACAAGTGTAGCGAGGAGGCATGGTCACAGACCGGGCCGTGGGGGCGTTGACCCCCGGAACTCTCTCCAGGTAAACTCCAGGTACTATAATGGTTCCTTGTGTAAGTGTAGCGAGTACTATAATGCTCCCTTGTACAAGTGTGGCGAGTACTATAATGGTCCCTTGTACAAGTGTGGCGAGTACTATAATGGTCCCTTGTACAAGTGTGGCGAGTACTATAAACTGTGTAAAGTATTGTGTCTACTATTAACTGTGCCTACTATTAATTATCTATTAACTGTGTCTACTATTAGAAAACAATAAGGCACAACACCGTGACTGGAACAATACACAAATAACCCGCACGCAGGAGAGAGGAACTTACGACAACGTTTTGGTTCATTTGTACCATTGTCTAGTTAATTATCCAAATCAGACCGAAACGTCGTCACAAGCTTAATTCACCTACGTGAGGGGTTACTTGTGTATATCTACTGTCAACTACGTGACTGATGTGACTGTGGTACAAGAGTACCAGTGAAAATTCTCACGCCAGTGACTGGTACAAGACTACCAGTGAAGATTCTCACGTCAGTGACTGTGGTACAAGAGTACAAGTGAAGATTCTCACGTCAGTGACTGTGGTACAAGAGTACAAGTGAAGATTCTCACGTGAATAAATCCCTGGGAAACTTCCTAAGTAATGGGAAGGTGGAGGCCGAGTGCGTTCAAATGTCAACATTCACTGACTCATTTTGGCATATAACTCATGAATATTAATTTTTTACACACATTTTAATATAATAATAATAATAATAATAATAATAATAATAATAATAATAATGAAATTGGTAAAAGACAATAGACAAAATGGAAACCTTAATTAAAACAACGTATCGCTGGGATACCAAGTTTCTTTAAGCATGACTGTATTCATTAGGGAGGAGAGAAACTGTAAAAACTACAGACATGACGGAGACACACTTGATCAAGAGCCCTCTGGATACTTGATCAAGAGCCCTCTGGAGACTTAATCAAGAGCCCTCTGGAGACTTAATCAAGAGCCCTCTGGAGACCTAATCAAGAGCCCTCTGGAGACCTAATCAAGAGCCCTCTGGAGACCTAATCAAGAGCCCTCTGGAGACCTAATCAAGAGCCCTCTGGAGACCTAATCAAGAGCCCTCTGGAGACCTAATCAAGAGCCCTCTGGAGACCTAATCAAGAGCCCTCTGGAGACCTAATCAAGAGCCCTCTGGAGACCTAATCAAGAGCCCTCTGGAGACCTAATCAAGAGCCCTCTGGAGACCTAATCAAGAGCCCTCTGGAGACCTAATCAAGAGCCCTCTGGAGACCTAATCAAGAGCCCTCTGGAGACCTAATCAAGAGCCCTCTGGAGACCTAATCAAGAGCCCTCTGGAGACCTAATCAAGAGCCCTCTGGAGACCTAATCAAGAGCCCTCTGGAGACCTAATCAAGAGCCCTCTGGAGACCTAATCAAGAGCCCTCTGGAGACCTAATCAAGAGCCCTCTGGAGACCTAATCAAGAGCCCTCTGGAGACCTAATCAAGAGCCCTCTGGAGACCTAATCAAGAGCCCTCTGGAGACCTAATCAAGAGCCCTCTGGAGACCTAATCAAGAGCCCTCTGGAGACCTAATCAAGAGCCCTCTGGAGACCTAATCAAGAGCCCTCTGGAGACCTAATCAAGAGCCCTCTGGAGACCTAATCAAGAGCCCTCTGGAGACCTAATCAAGAGCCCTCTGGAGACCTAATCAAGAGCCCTCTGGAGACCTAATCAAGAGCCCTCTGGAGACCTAATCAAGAGCCCTCTGGAGACCTAATCAAGAGCCCTCTGGAGACCTAATCAAGAGCCCTCTGGAGACCTAATCAAGAGCCCTCTGGAGACCTAATCAAGAGCCCTCTGGAGACCTAATCAAGAGCCCTCTGGAGACCTAATCAAGAGCCCTCTGGAGACCTAATCAAGAGCCCTCTGGAGACCTAATCAAGAGCCCTCTGGAGACCTAATCAAGAGCCCTCTGGAGACCTAATCAAGAGCCCTCTGGAGACCTAATCAAGAGCCCTCTGGAGACCTAATCAAGAGCCCTCTGGAGACCTAATCAAGAGCCCTCTGGAGACCTAATCAAGAGCCTCTGGAGACCTAATCAAGAGCCCTCTGGAGACCTAATCAAGAGCCCTCTGGAGACCTAATCAAGAGCCCTCTGGAGACCTAATCAAGAGCCCTCTGGAGACCTAATCAAGAGCCCTCTGGAGACCTAACAAAGTCCTCTGGAGTTCAACCAGGATGTGATGAGATTGACTGTGCACTTAAAAAGGCCAGAAATATGTGAATTTGGTCGACATTCGTAAATTGGCGAGACCAGGAACCAT